CAATTTAAGGGGTCAGTTAAATTTAAAAATTCATGCTATACGTACAACCAAAAAAAGATTTTGTATTTCCATAAGTGGGGTAAAACTATGTAATAATTTAAGTGTGGACATAAAAATAGTAATAGAATTGATGAGTTTAAACATAAATATAAAGGTATGTGTCAGTCAAGATATATGTAAGAACAGGTTTAATGATTAATTAGATGGAACATTGTGGGTGTGGTGTAAGAATGTTAACACTATGTACTATTGCTACTTGTGTGATGTAGAAGATAATTAGCAAAGTACGTAATTATGTGAGAATGTTAACAGTCTGTAATATTTTTTAGTATATCACTAGCGTGGTGTAGAACAAAATTATCTACGTAGTAATACTGCTTGCAAACCAATGATGGTAAGATGATGTCATGGGGTAGGACTGGATAAGTCTGACTTCTTCCTACTCCATTCAAACATGTACTAGGTATAAGCAAATTGATAAGGGATTAGCATTTGTGGATATGTGTGAAATTATGTGTGTTGACATATCGACTATCGTTACATGTTTGAAAGAATAAAATCAAATCAAACTCTATTTTCCTTATTATCCTAACTAATGAATGGAGCATTGTAAAATGGGTAGATGGTGTGAAACAACGAGTACCTACATTTATTTAAAATCCTTATTTTCTTTTATCCCTAACAGAGAAATCTGAATCCCATGCTGGCCAGGAGACACCAGGACCTCTGGAGCCCACAGCTTCTAAAGAACTGTGGAACGGCCTGGGCATACACATCAAACCATAGTAGGCTAAGATGTCTTTATTCTACCTGGCTCTGTGGTTAAAGGCTAATTTGTCTTAGATGTTAATTTATTCAACATAATTTTACCATCACCATCACCATTAGTCCTATATCGTGGCTTTACATTTTAGCTCCATCATTTATGTTCTTGTCATTCATTTTGTCATTTATTAGAGCAGTTTAGTAATATGGGCATGTAGTGGTAGATTATTTAATAAAATGTCTAAGACCTGACACCATGATATTTGTCTATTTGGTTGAGAGAGTAGAGGTCAGTGTTCTAGAGAATGCATTCCTTCACTGAGTCAGAGGTTGTTTCCTAAACTGGTTTATTAAACTGATGTGTTATTTAAGTGTAATTGTTCCACTCCAGAGATTGATATTTCAGCTGATATTTATTGGTAATTAATCACTCATAATAATGACATAAAATTTTGGTTAGTTTACTGTGTAAAGGAACTTGGTGCTCCCTTTCTGTGTATAGCTTGTATGTTCTTCCTCTGCCTGTGTGGGTTCTCTCCAGGTACTCTGCTTCCTCCCACACTCCAAAGACGTGCAGGTTAGTTTGAGTGGCGACTCTAAATTGCCTGTAGGAGTGAGTGTGGGGCTGTGTGTTTGTCTGTCTCTTAGTGTCAGCCCTGTGATAGACTGGCGACCTGTCCAGGGTGGACGCCACCTCTCGCCTGATGTCAGCTGGGATAGGCTCCAGCCCCTATAGCGACCCTCTTCAGGATAAGTGGTATAGATAATTGATAAATGGATGAACATTCAATCAGACAATACCAGCGTTAGACCAGCAGATGGCAATGGCTTGCTGTAAATGAAAGCTGAGCCTTTAGGTCAGTGGAAGGCTACTTTATAACCACTAATCCTACACTTAATAATGTCGGAAGGCACAGCAGTTGCAAGGAAACCGTCCTAATTTAAATGACAAGGTGGGAGATAAGGCTGTTTGGGCTGGAATAATCCATAGGTGATTGATTTGGTGTAGATAACCCATATTATCTGACAGACAAGCATACGAGGCCACATTTGTGTCTTTGTTCCATCATTTTTCATAAGTGTCAGCATAGCAGTACCCACAGAATGTGATTTTATACTTCAATGTGTTGAGAAAAACTCAGTTCATTACATGTGGAAAAACCCATACTTTATGTCATCTGTGCAGTTGGAGGCAGTGAAATATAAAGACACTTGATATACTGGGTCTGGTTTGGGTGCTCTCATCTCGCTTCATTGAAATGATGTGACTGCTGTTACGTGAGCCAGTTGGTCAGGAGATCGCCGTCATCTTTCCAGCAGGAGAGATTAAGTTCCTGCAACAATTTCACCAAATAAAACTCTCATAATTGCTCCAAGTAGACCACTTGGATTTGACATAAAAAGATAAATGGTTTTACCCTGCAGTTGAAATAAGTAGTAAAGCTGCTATGAACAGTATTTTTACATTAGCAGTGGATCATGTGGCTGCTTGAATATGAAAGTGTTGACGTAGTGAAAAACACAATTTCACCTACGTTCCCCTCTCCTTTATGGAGAATTTTGGTAACTTTCACCTTTTTGTTTTTGCACCTCAAGTCCACAACTTTTCTGTTATGATTTACTCAGGCACATGGAAACAGGCAGCTAAGAATGTAGTGTTCATTTTATCAGCAAAAATGATGGAGAAAATATTTGTTAATGACCTGTTTCTATGACAAATAACAAGACTAAAACTGTAGCTTCTGATCAGTAAAGCATTTTTCTCCACCCAACACAGTATCTTTCATTCAGAAGTAGGTTTAGCCACTTGACCTGCTGCACTGCCATTAATACAAAGCATCTTACATGTGGCAATGTTCTATGTTCTGTCAACTGATTTTACCTAAAATTTTAGTTTAGCCAGCAGGAAGTGTGTCCTATCTCTTCAGGTTCAGAACATCTTGTTCTGCAAAGATTCCTCAATTTTATACAGTTCATTTAAATGCATATGAAATGTGCTGCATGATCCTTTTCACTGATTTAAGATTGACCTACTTGTCTTAACTTTGTCTGACATTAAGTAACTTCACCTTTCAGTAGCTTGACCATGTTTCTATTTGGTTTTTGAAAAGGCCAAACATAGAGCCGTGATCATATACTATCAGAGCTTTGGCTCAGTGTTGACTTGTTATAATAAAGCTCCTGTTGACTGCACCAGGGGATCAACGGCTGCATTTGCTGACATTTTTACATGGACATGACACTGTACTTTATACTGTGTGCATTTAATCCTCATCTCCATCCTCTCACCTTCCACCACCACAATAAAACACCCCTGAGCATGATATTCATTAGAGAACACATTACTTGTTTTCAAAGTGGAAGTGAGTCCTTGGTAGTGTATATTGGCACAATGTTCAGAGTAGTGAGTCACAGGGAGGTGATGCAGGCATGAGAGAAAAAGAGAGGTGATATGAGAGAACATTTTCTCAGGCAGGCTTACGCTTATATGAGAGGTTTTAAACTGAGCTCACCTTCTGAGCTTGCTGTATGTCTGGGGATGTCACAATAAATCCCCATTCATTTAGACATCAATCATCAGCATTTGAGGACTGATTTTTTTGCAAGGGTCCTCATTCAAGAAGATTTAATCTAGATGGTCAAGTGCAACTCAAAGCTACAGTATGTAACTTTTTGTTAAATATTTTTGTTGTAGAAATCTGCTCCAAAACTTACCTTAGTGTGGAGCGGTGCTGTCAAAGGCTCCTGGGACCCAGACTCATTGAACAGCACCTGATATCAGTGCAGAGATGTTAGCTTCTAAAAGGTTTTGAGCGGAACTGACCTCTCTAACCAATCGGAGATTTTCATGTATTTCTGTAAGTTTTGTTGCATTTGTTTTATTTTCATGACGACAAATATCTGAAGAGCTGGGCAGAGTGTGGTGGAGCATATCAGATAGTACTAGAGCATAGTGGAGCAGGGTGAGAGAGCGCTGGGCAGAGCAGAGTGGACTGATTTGGAGTTTCATGCCAGTGCTACTTTAAGTAATATAATGAAGCTTCAGTACAAAATTACACAACTGTCTCTAATGGGGGTGACTCGTGAGAATAGACATGATATGCTATGTTATAGTATATATCCATATATCTATGGATTTTTTTTTTTCATTTTTCAGATATCCATATAATTCTTTACCTCAAAAATCTTGCATTGGTTGGGCTATAATTCTAATAAATTATAAAGCCTTGCACTGGTAAAGGCAACATATACCAGGACATGCAGCCTACTTATGTTTTCCAAATAAAATCAAATGTTATACAGATCATTTTAAATGGCCTCCTGAACCAACTATTAAAGCTGACTGCATAGGAGGTACTTTCAGCCTTTTCATCAAACTTGTTTTGTTTAGTGTGAGGCTGTAGGTCAGTTTAGTGTGTTTAAAGTGAAAAGTGAAACAGTAATAATTAACAATTACGGCTCAAATTGAAAGATACCTGGACATTTTTTTTTTGTTCAATAAGAGTCTTCAACAACAGTAGCCTTTTGTGAGACTTAGCTACAAACAAAATGTTAAGGTCAGCATGCTAACATACAGATGTTTAGCAGGCTGTGTGTTTGCCATAATTGTTATCTTAGATTAGCATAAATTTTTTTGCTTATTAGCATGAAAATAAAATTTAGTTAAGGCTGATAATAGCTTAAAAAGCAAGGGGGTTGCAAAAGTTGTTACAATTCATTCTGTAGGATCCATGAGTGTGTGCAAAATGTCACAGCAATCCGTTTATTAATTATTGAAATATTTCAGTCTGGGCCAAAGTAGTGGGCCCTTACCACAGAAGAGTTGTTAAGGGGTCAAAATGGCAGCAGGTCACATGACTCATACCTTGAAATAGTTTCAAACAGCCAATACTGATGCATTGTTTTCTGTAAGGAACAGTGAGATTAGTGACGTGAACAGCCTTGCTAACTAGAGCTGTGTTCTATTGTTGTAGCAAGTTAGCTAGTTACCTAATTATTAATGTGAGCCCAAGTTTTGTTAAATGTGTATAAATGTTTTGACACATCGTTAACTCAAACTGCAGCAAGTATAATTATTGCTATTGATTTCAGCTTCTTACTCTAGAAGATAGCAGCCAAGTCAGTGTAACTCTGTGGCTCTGCACCTAATATTTGGAACTATCCAGTATTCCCTTGATCTGCCATTGCCGTTAAAAAAACAAATGAAAATAATAAAAAGAAAACACACAGACACCAAAATATTCCTTATAGAGTCAATGGAGATGTTGTCACTGTCCTTCTTAATCCATTAGGCAGGAAATACATAGAGGACTGACCTTTCACATTGCAGGAAATCTTATAAGATATATCCTTCATACAGTATATAGTGCAGTCATCCAAGGGAGCTATACAGTACAAACACGTCCATTGATACACACATAGGGTACATACAGTGTGCACACTCACTGACACACAAATACACCTGTTAGACCATGGGAGCAGGAAGCAGCCTGCATTTTAATTACAGAAATAAGGACACTGGCCTGTCAATGATCACATTCTATTCTATGTGACAGTAAAGCATCACAAATAAGCATCTGTTTCTGAAATTATACCACACAAACAGAGGCAATGTAAGCTGGGGAAATGGAACTAAGAATGGCACACAGCAAGTCTCTGTTATGATTTGGCTACCAACATGCACAAATGCCTTTGGTTGTTTGGCTCGGGGGAGGAATAGGTTCCAGTGTTGTTTTTCTATACACTAATGTCATGACATGATTTTATATTAAGTTTCAAGGCACATAGATAAAAGTAACCACACAGAAAAGGACATACAGTATCCATGGCTGTACACTGTCAGAAACAAGTGTGTACTTTATAACCGACTCAGCAAAGGTTTTGGCATAGTCAGGATCACATACATTATTATCTGATATGGAGATCTCACATTTCATTTTACTTCAGCACATGTGTAACACTGGTTCTGGTTAGTGAGGTGAAACACAAAGTGGGATTTGCAACCTTCCCCATGCAAGAACAAATAGATGATACCACAAATACACAGAGTTAGTATTGAACAGTGCATCTTCAGGAATGCATGTTCTAGCCCTTCACAAATGAACTTATGTTTAAAAAAAAGCTGAGCCCAAGAAGGGAGAGTCGCCTGTTTCTGCCTCTCATCTGTACACTATACAGGGCAGGAACCAGAAGTCTGAACAAATGCTCTTTACGCATCTGGTGTCAAACTGTACTCAGAAATCAAAGAGCCAAGCCCCATGTCAACCCAAATGAATATAACTCTTTTATAGCCTAACCTAATTTCAGACATACTTAAGTCTTGATTTCAGAAAATGACAAAGAATGCAGCTACAGGCACATGTCATGTTCCTTTTAGCGCTACATTTACACTGGTTTTAGCACAGACAGCCTCATCATCTATTAAACATCAGAATGATTTATTAGACACATACAGTAAGTACGCCAAATAGCCAGCAGAAATGGTATGCATAGCATGTTTTCTTCAGCATTGTTCAGTTTAGGTGGGTGTAAAGTGTGTGTTAGCTCGTATTACTCTTCCCTAAGCTGTGTTCACAAATGAAAGTAACACAAAGACAGAGAGAGAAACAGTAATTAACTGTGGATGATGGAAGAATAGTTGTCGCACTTCAAGCTTGAAAGTGCTAAATACTGTATCTAAACTGTGATGGGTGAGATCGCATAAGTGGGTTTCTCACTGTGACACACACACACAGAATATTCACAAATGTAGAAGTGTAAAGATATACACAAAAAAGATGGTGTGTGTTCAGGATCATACACAGGGTTTGTACATGAGATAATTGGCTTACAGTCCAAACATGTTTCTGGCTGTAGTTATTCTTCACATAAAGCCGTTGGTCTTGGACTGTTGTTTCTTTACATCTACACACATACAGAATCAGTCACCATTATTATGTTATGCATTACTCAGGCAAAGGCTGTAGGAACTTACATCGCTGCAGGTTTACTCATGTCACTGTGAAAGTGAGGCTATTTTACATGCTTGCCAGTAAACATTTGTGAATGTGTGTGTGTGTGTGTGTGTGTGTGTGTATGTGTGTGTGTTCCTAATTTGACTCCAAAGTGAATGAGGGCCTGACCCTAATACAACTACTGCAGTAACAGCACAGAGAGACTGTCATGACAAATTACAGGCTGTGTGGCCCAGGAGCAACTGGGAGAACGCCGTTTGTGTGTGTGTGGCCTCAGTTAATTGTTTTCTGCAGTAATCTCTCAGGACAAGCTTTGTCTGCCTCCTCGTGTCTTTTGATTGTGCTGATTGATGAAGGCTGACTTCACTATAAATCTGTCACTGCAGCATATGGCGGACGACCTTATTACCACTATAGAGGCTTTCCAGTTGTTTTACAGATCTCCGGCAACCAGGGGCGGCTCCATCACGTAGGTCTATTGGAGAAATCACAGTGCATAAAATGCCTGATACCTAAAACGGAAATGGGTGTCAGTGATGTATATGAGCTCATTCAGTCAGCATTAATGGAGTGATAAGGTTTCCAAATTCAGGATATTGTGTTTTTTGTTTAACTTCCTCTGGTTCACTAGGAAACTGTAGTTTAGTGGAGTCCACTGGAGCCTGCAGGATTATATTATGTTTTAACGAGAATCTTTTGTCATTTTAACAAAATACTTTGCTCGGTCACGTTAAAACATTTTTCACGTTATTACAACATACTGGTTTGTCTCGTAATAACATGCCCCCTGCGCAGCGCACACATTGGCTTTGAGCAACACCTCCGTAGCTCATCCAGTTCAGCAGTCTCTCTCTCACCGACACCCTCTCATACCAACTTTCCACCCAGTGACCAGCGTTGCTCTCAGGAGGTGCGCCCCTGCCGGTCCTTGAGGATCTCTGATCTGACACTTAAATCCATGCACAATAAATAGTACACAAAATAACACATGACTGCAGCTCATGAGCGATAAATAAAAAATACTCTGCATATGCCTGGATGTTGCTAAGGCATTGTTGACAGCAGGTACAATCGTGTGTGGCTGCTGTCACCGACTACAAGCTGCATGCTTACGTTAGGGAGTAGAAGTATGATCCACTCCAGGGGAGTGCGATGTTATATCAGATAGCTCCTCGGGCCATAAATGTGAAACTACATTTCTGTGCTGTACAATGACCACCAGAGGCAATGGTGTAAAAAATCATTTTTAAAACATAAGGACAGCGCGCACAGAACTGGGGCTGCAGGCGCCACTGGTGGAGTCAGTCCACTGAACTAAACAAACTGATATAGATTTTTTTTTTATAGCTATCTCAGTAACTACCAAGCCAATTCGTGAATGCTGATAATGAGGTGGAATGGTTAAGTTTAGGTTTAGAGTATATGTTAATAGCCATATGTTTCAGTCTGGGTAATTAGCATCTTACTGAGATTTGTAGTTTTTTCCCAGATGTAAAAACTCATCTTCCTCAGTCCCCCAAATAAATACATTTATCTCAAACCTGAAAGTTTGGTCAGTCTTTGTCATGGTCACAACAAACAAGTCTTTGAAGTCTGAAGCCTAACAAACGCATCTCAGCTAGCTTGAAATAAATTACATTGCCCAATGTGCAATATGAGCCTATATTATGTCGCCAACAACAGTTTATTCCATTACACACATCCACATTCAAAAGCTTAGCAAACTATCTGAAAATACAAGCAGCATTTCACTAAAACAAAACAAAAAACTGCCATTGTTCTGAGTGTTTATCTTTGATGTCACAATAAATAAAAATATTTTATACAAATATCATATTTGTATAAAATCCTGTAATATTATGTTACCATTCTTTGGCTTCTGATGTTTTCTTTCCCAGTTCAGTAACAGCTTAAGCAAATGCACATGTACCACCATCCAAGAAGAGTGGGGGAAAGCGCAACTGGTATTTACGACAGTTGGGTCCAACTCAGTTACACTCAGCAACTGTAGGAGGAGGCAAATTGCCAAGTTACGTATTGTTGCTTTAAGTGATCACAAACTAACCGGCACACGGGAAACTCAACAGGAACACTTGTAACAGCATCAAAAACGTTTGTATTGGGAAAAAAACAAAACAAAAAAACAGATTATGTGGGTGTTTCAATATACTGTATGTCTGTCTTACCCACACACGCCTTGATCTCTTCCATTCACCTGTATTTATGTAACTCACTGCAATCTCCCAAGCTTTGTCTTCATGGGTGGTGTGTTATCAGTGGATACAATGCCTACATAAGCTTTACTTTGCTTTCTCTCTGTCCCTTTATCTCCTCTCTCCCTCCCTCTTTGACTGAGCAACACGTTTCCCTGCCTTCTGTGAAATTTTGACATTTTTGCAAGGAAAAATGACAACTGAACCAAATGTGAAGCTGAGGGTAGTGATTACGTTTACATATGAAATTAGAAGGAACTCTTATGTTGTCAGAACACAGCCTTTACAAGTAGAAATGGGTTCTTTACAATTGCACAGCTGACACAAAAGGGCAGAATTCAGTGAAGTATAAAACACAGATGATGGGTTTCACAAACATGTATCAAGAGCTGTCAGTGACACAGCTCACAACAATACAGAATTTTACAGTGGGGACTGCCTTTGAAATTCATTTGGGTTCAGGCACAAAGTCATCAATGTGCCAAACTTTCCCCATGGGTCGACAGGAAACCATTTCCTATTTACAAAGTCAAGCTCTTCTGAAGGGAGCGAGGCTCAGAACGGATGTTTTGCCATCCTTCCACTTAATCAATAATCCTGGATGTTAAATTCAAGAGTGTACAGATCAATGCAGCTCCTCCTGTGGAGATGCCAGATTGTCAGGGAATAGAACCACCTTTGACTGTGAGTAAATAAGATGTGTTTAGAGGCCTGTTGATCATGTAAGACCATCAGCTGGTATAGATAAAACATGACCACGAAACTGTTCATGCTTGTGTTGTAGTTTCTGATTTTTATCATTTAACGTCTCTAAAAACCTTTGAGTGCTGGCTGGTTTCCAATAAAATATCTGACTTCAGCTGTATTTCCACATTCAGAGAAGTCAATGCAAAGCCTTCTTAGTTATAGATAACTCCGTCATGGAAGGCAAAGATTGGGTTCAGTCATCTCTGTACCATGGGTGAACTAGCCCCAGTATTTCTGCAGCGGATCCACAGCCACAGTCCACTGTTTGATCCTGCATCTTGTTTTGATTCTGGTTCAGTCAGCAAGACTTCTAACATCTCGACAGAAGCCTCAAGTTGCTAAATGTGAAAGCATTATTATTTATGTTGGATTTCAACATCACTTGTCTGGTATAGGTTTGCGCTGCTTCAGGGCTAAGAGCTGGAGTCAGCGCTGTATAGTTTTCATTTTGACTTTGTTTGTGTGTCAGTGTCCATGTGCAGCAGCCATTAAATCATCTTCCTGTTCTTGCATCTTTGAGCAGGGATCACTAGCAGTGCACTGGCAGCCCATCTGTCCAGAAGCCCCAAGCTCAATCTTTCTTATCTCTCTGGAAGTGACTGGTGCTCCTTTACCCTCAGATGCTGGTCTGCAGCTCTCCGTTGAGCAGGGCAGCATTGTGAGTCTCCAAATTGGTGCTGGTGATGATGGCGTCGCTAATCATCCTGCTCCTGTCTGCCCTGCTGTCACTGCGCTCTATCTCGTCCAGCCCTGTCACCTTTTTCAGGCAGAGAACATTCTGAAAGCTCTTCTTGAAGTTGTCCGACAGGAATGCATAGAGGATGGGGTTGGCACAGCTGTTGGCATAGCCAAGTACCACCACGAAGTCGAAGGTGCTTTTCATTGCAGAGGTGGGGTTGATGGAACTGGTGACAGAGGTGACATTGAAAAGGTAGAAAGGTAGCCAGCAGAGGACGAACACTGCCACAACAATGGACACCATCCTCGTCACCTTACGCTCTGAACGCTTGCGTTTGCTGGAACCCACTCTCATGCCAGATGACTTTACCTGTCAAAGGGAAGAACTGTCAGTGGCTTCAAATCACTCAAGCACATTCTTGAAGGAACAGCTGGACATTTAAGGATACAGGTCCATTTGTTTTTTGGGTGAGAGATGAGAAAATCAATAGCTAAGTTTAGCTGGAAGACTGGAATCAGCCAGGCTGGCTCTGTCCAAAGGTAAATAAACCTGTTCCCAAAGTGAAGAGCACTTTAACTAGTGTTAATTTGATTTAGAGATGCTGATCTTAATGCTAACGTAAGCTAACTGGCTCCTGGCTGTAGCTTCATTTTTAACAAACTCTTTGCAAGAAAGCAAATGAGTGTACTTTCCAAATTGTCTGTCCTGCGTTGATGGACAACAGCAGATGAGGCTGCCCCCCAGGAATGTGTGCTCTCCCTGCTGCTGTTCTCCCTCAATACTAATGACTGCACCTCAGGAGACCCCTCTGTAAAAATCATGGAGTTTGCAGATGACACAACAGTCATTGACCTAATTCAAGATGGCGATGAGTTGGCCTACAAACAGGAGGCTGAACAGCTGGCCCTGTGGTGTGGTCATAGCAACCTGGAGCTGAACACATGGAAGACAATGGAAATGATAATGGATTTTAGGAGGAACTAACTAACTATATTCAACAGCACTGTTTCGGTCGTGGAGTCCTACAAGTTCCTGGGCTCCACTATCTCCCAGGACCTGAAGTAGACATCCAATCCAAACAGGACAAGTACAGACTTCAGCAGACAGTCAGGACTGCAGAAAAGGTCATTGGTGTGAGCCTGCCCTCTATGGAGGACCTGTACACCGCACGAGTCAAAAGGAGGGCGGAGAGGATCACTGCAGACCCCTCACACCCTGGATATAAACTCTTTGAACTACTCCCCTCTGGGTGGCGCTACAGGTCACTGTGCGCCAAGACAACCAGGCACAGGGACAGTTTCTTTCCCCGGGCTATTACAATGTTGCTCTTCTAACTTGTGATTTTTTAGTTTGTATATATTGTGTATTTATTTTGTTTTTTATATTGTGCACATTGGGGGCCATTGAGCTGGAGTCAAGTTCCTTGTGTTCTTGAAATACTTGGCAATAAAGTTTATGTTTATTGTCTCACTTAACCTGGCGTAACAACCAGTGAGCACCAGGCAGTGCCTAGCCCTGTTCCTAGATCATCATATTATCAGAGGAATGCATGAGTAGTTATTGTTTTGTTCTGTACGGTGTTTGAATCACAGGAAATCAGGAACAACTCATGAAGATAGTGGGCAGTATGATTGACTTAGCCATAACTATGAACTAATCCATGTAAGTACATTTACTCAAGTACTGTACTTAAGTACAATTTTGAAGTATCTATACTTGAGTCTTTTCATTTTCTGCTGCTTTATACTTTGGCTTCACTTCATTTCAGAAAAAACATTGTACTTTGTACTCACTAAATTTATTTGATAACTTTAGTTGCTAGTTACTAATCAGAATCAGATTAATACAATACAGTATAATGATTAGACTGTTGATCCTCGGTGTAAAATTCACAAGCTACCCAGTAGTACTCCATATTATAAGCATATAAGATAGTTAACATTAGCTCTACTTTTTAGCAGCTGCAACATCAAATGTACACAATACACTGGTACACAATAACACATCAATAATTATAATCCAATATGATATGCATTGATGTTAACTGTGTCATTCTGCACAATGAGTATTTTGACTTTTGGTACTTTAGGTACATTTTTATGCTAATATTTTTGTACCTAATCAACATATTGAATACAGATCTTCCACTTAAGTAAACTATCTGAAACCTCTGAACCCACTAAACTAATCATTACCTAGTGATTCACTGGTATAGTGATGCAAATTCTTCCTGATTCTTTCCTTAGTAACAATGCATATTTGTCTGTACCATGTTATAAAGTGTCACCATCAGTGACATTTTAAACTGAGCAATTTACATGAATCTATGAATATATACAGTATTATGCATGTGACCAAACCACGCTGGGTGACAGAAGGATTTTTGGACAGCATTGTAGTCCTATAGCCAGTTATACAAATAAAACTCACTATTTCACAAAATTCTGTTATAATATCACAAATGCAGTGGTAAACTCTCACCTTGACTATAATGAGCAGGTAGCACAGACATATGACAACCAGAGGCATGAAGAATCCAATGAAGAAGGTGTAGAATATGAAGGCCTTGTAATAGACATCCTGGGGCTCTGGCCACATAATGCCACACACTGGCACCTTGTCCAGGCCACTGAAGATCATAGTTGGTAGGATGACTAAGAGCGACACCCCCCAGACTGTCAAGTTAATTAGCTTCGCTACACGGGGCTTCCGCCATTTTGTGGACTTAATAGGGTGGACCACGGCCAGGTATCGATCGATGCTCATCACCATCAGACAGAAGATGCTGGTGAACTGATTGAGAGAGTCTGGGAGGGGTTAGAGGAAGACAGGAAGCAGAGGAGTGAAGAAAGGAACAAAGCTGAGGGCATCATGTAATCAGTAACCACTAATGCAAAAAAAAGGTTTAGACAAACTTTAAACAAAAAGCCATTTCAAATACTTTTTTCTTTTTTAGAGTTAGGTAAAAAAAAAAGATTCAGCCTCATTCACCAATATTTTGCATATTTTTTCCTTAAATTTATCTTTAAGAAAGGTCCTAAGAAAAGCCTACGCCTGATTCTTAAACCGCAGAATAATTCGCACCTGTGTTCTTACAATGATGAATCCCATTGTGATAGTACAGTAATTTTAAAGCACATGTGAATCGTTTCTATTTAACACAGGTAAATACCCCACCAGTGCCCATAGAAGGGCATGAGATTGCAGGGTCGTGTGCACACAGGAATTAGGGTTGGGTACCAAAACCCAGTGCCAATATGGCACTGGTTCCTATACAGGTGGTATTTACTAGACTAAATCACAATGCAGGTTTTGGTGCCTCATTTTGGTGCCACTTAAATGCCTGTTGACTGAAATATTTGCCCTCTGGTGCTGTGAAACGAACAATACAGGCAAGAGAACCATCACTGTACATCAAGTGCTAACATTATCACTGCCCTGCCGTCTGGCCGTGATGCCCTGCATATCTGTCGGCCACACAGCCAGAGTTCATCAGTCAAGCTAGCACTGCTACAATAAGGTTTCCTTTAGTTTTACTGGATAATCAGACCGAAGGGTGTAATTTTTGGCTCTGTCTGTAAGCTGTAAGAAAACTCAACATTAAAACATTACATGTAGTGTTGAAATGTATTGTGTTTTCTCTGCTATCTGAAATACTGCATATGCTAAATAAGCACTAACAGTCAATACTGACAACCAAGTGAAAACTGCAGGCAGCCATTATGCATGTATTTTTAGTTTTCACTGTGCTAGAAGTGATGCTGGTCATTCTGTCATCATTAAGCCAGATAAATATAATTATTGCACAAGTTAGAGTAATTTAGAGAAATCAGATGTCATTTCCTCCATTTTCTCCTTCATACATCCATGATTCTTCTGACCCATTATCTTAGGCAACATCAGCAGAGAGCAACATGAGCTTAGTACTGTTTGTCTTTGAGTCTAAATGTGTACAGATAACCTCATTTACTATCTAAATTATAATAAAGGCGCACAGTTACTGCACTATCTCTGCATATTTCTCTGTAACCATTCTACAAACATCTGCACTTTACTCTAGTTTGTAACTTTACTGCTCAGGCTGTATAGATAAACCATGTACACATACACATCATGTCATTTGTCTCAGCCTTAGTGCCCAGTCTAGTGGCCTTTGTACCCTCCAGAAATGTACAGCGTGAAATCGAAGGCCAAATGGCCTTGGCCTTCAAATTATTAAATGTATGGGCTGGTTTTGTGCTTCTTTTTTAGGGATCGGTTCTGGTACCATTTAGACACCAGCACTGTTTTACAAGTATAATTTTATCAGAAAAAAACCCAAACGATACCCAACCCTAACAGGACTCTCACACAGAAACAGAAAAGAAAGTAACTAAAATAAAAAATAGCAACTGAGGAATATTGTGATGAAGTAAACAACAGCAAAGGAGTGGTCATATTTAGTAGTATGAGTAGTGGATATAAAATAACACACTGCATGCTCTGATTCAGCCAGTGAACTGGGATAAGGGTGCCCAACTGATGAAGTAATAAAAAAAAGGTTTGATCTCAAACCTGAGGCAACAAACCACAGGGGTGAGACGCTGACCAGTGGAGGAGGACAGGGTATCTGAGCTGGACCAGGTATGCGTGCCTCCGTCTGTGCACCCACGTCCCCTTCAGCTGCCCAGCATCTGACCTCAGATGTGGTGCTGGACAACCACATACCTAGACAGACAGCCTCAACACTGGCCAAAATACCCATGTTTGGTTTTGAAGTGATATATTTCTAATAAATTTTAAAGCCCTTAGCCATAAAAAAGCAATTAATTGCCTATTATAGCTTATACTGTTATATTTATTCATATTAAAAGACTGTAATTCTTTGTTAAATACTGGAAATAATTACTGAAAAAATATTAATGATAGAAATGTTATTGTAATTTAATCCTAATATTATACAACTGTAGAATTGAAGAAAAGTGAAATACCAATAGGTTCACACAAACATGTCAGCACTGCAAAGTTGCTCTTGAGTGTGTGTAGGCTCTGTTCTTACCTAACAACAAATCCCAGATAAGAAAACATTGGTGAATGCCAGAAAGTTGTTCTTGAGAAAGGCTGGTTAATGTGGCCCACTTGGAAAGCAGCACTTGGCATTTTTACACATTCTGTCTGTATGTAGCAGCACTTGGCATTTTTACACATTCTGGTGTTTGTATAGTTAAAACCAATAAGGCACAATGTGCTGCTTCTAGTCTGTTACTAAGCTAATCTAACAGTCTCCTGGCTGTAGCTTCATATTTAACTGACAAATATGACAGTGTTCTTGGTCTTCTCATCTAACTTTAAGCAGAAAAGCAAATACATGTATTTACATTTCCCAAAATGCCAAACTATCCTTCAGGGTTTTGAACAAAAATTCCTTGAGCTGCAGTTAGTTTAATTAAATGTTTTTAGTTAGGTTTTCCTTCAGTTATAGCAGATAATGATTTTGGGTTAAGTGAGGAACCCAGAAGTGCTTTTTGCCCAGTAAAACTGCTGCTGTTCTCTTAAGTGCACCATTAGCCTGGTTTTCTACACCCACCTACAGTCATGATGACTCTACACAGTGCCTCTCCAAAGGGCCAGTGCACCAGTGACAACTGCAGGGCAATGAACGGCAGGCTCATCATACACAAAACATCTGCCACTGCCAGGTTCAGGATGTAGATGTTGGTCACCGTCTTCATTTTGGCATAACGCAGGATGACATAGATGACCAGGGTGTTGCCGCAGAGCCCCACGGCGCACACCACAAAGTAGATGAAGGTGATGACCACAGAGCTGGTCTTGTCCTGGTGAGACTCCCTGGTCTCTGAGATGTTCAGGTCCACATCAGAGTCATTCCCTTGGAAATAGCTGTCATACAGGAGGGGCTCAGGGATGGAGATGTTGGGGGACGTTGACAGGAAAGGCCACTGATCCAAGGCCATGACGGCAGAAAGGGTTTTAAGGAATCAAAGGATTTTAAGAATCTAAAGATGATGAAGGGTGAAAAGTGAAGGTGTGATCTTGGAGGATTTCAGAGATAGTGGATTAATGGGTATGGGTTAGAGTTTCAGCCTTAAATCAAATTTAACACGTCTGTGAAAATCTGGGCAAAAGGACATCAAGGTTAAAATTCTAAGATAATCCAGGGAAGTTTGAGACTTTGGGGTGGCTGCAGATTTTTGTTCAATTGGAATCATAGGTATCACATCACAGCTGTAGAGAAACAGCTAAAGAGCAAGACTGATCTGTAGAGAGAGAGAGAGAGAGAGAGAGACTAGTAAGTCTGGCTGACAGAGAAGATTTTTTTAGATAAACAATAATAGCCCTCTAAGATCCATGGCAACAGCTGCGAGTTTACCCACATGTAACTGCTTTCATGCCTTCAATCAGAGTAACATGAATGCTCCATGGGAGAGATGGCCATATCCAGCCAAGTTCAAATTTTACCTGATGTGCAATTTTCTACAAATGACTTTTTGCCTTCATTTCAAACCACTGCAGAGAAAAAAAAAAGAAACTAGGGCACCACAGGCAAACCATAAAATACTGGAGCTTGTTGGGTTGTCCCTGAACAGCTGCCATGACACATTACATGACTGAGCATCATCCCAAACTTTTTGTCACTATTACGTCAGAACATTGATTTGCACTGATATCAGGCAGATACAACTGTGTGGGTGACTCCAGAACTCATCATGACTTCTAGTTTAGAGTCACATATTCGTGATTTTGACATCTGGACACGTCCTTCATTTCAACATGTGTTCAACGTGTCTTCTGTCTTTCTTTGTGACTCAGTCCATAAATCCTCCGGTGCTGCACTGAGCCCAGGTCAGGTGTGTGCATATGTGTGTATGCATGCTTCTCCCATGTATACATGCATGCAAAAGGGTACGCCTGAGCGAGAGAAGGACGAGGGCACAGCAACGGCAAAGACAAATGTTTATTCAATTGATCTTGGGGACAAACAGCTCTGACACTGTGGCAGGATCAGTCACTCTTCCCCTGCAGTGACAGCCGCTTGCTCAACAGGGACAACAGTCCAGTTCTTGTGTTCATAATTTACCTGAATTACGTGACTGGCACATGTTGGGCCACTTTAGACAGTTTACTTTGTGCTAACGAGGGGTATGATAAACAGCTGGGTATTTATCATAGTAGATGACGGCTGCTGCTGTAAACTGTGTCTGTGTGTACATTAATATGTATGCAAAGGTTAGACTAATACAGAGGATTGTTGTATTTTTTGTTAATCTACAGTGTTTTCCTCTTGAATATTTAGTATGAAATGTTAAAAACTAACCACAGATGCCCATCAGTAATGTCCTACGTGGAAGGGGATGCGTCACACTTTGTATTTTATCTTTTATCAGTCAAAAAGTCCAAAGGGATTCAGGTCATTTTTAAAGACTAAAATAATATTATCATAGAGAACTGTTCAACCAATTTCAGCACTCTTAATATACACAGGTCTACAATGCTGTTCCTCTAGTAACCCAATTTGCCTTTGAAATATTGGAGATGTATCCATTTTCACATATTAGTCATCGCCTTGTTGCAGTAACATCTGACTCACAACTGCCAGTGTGGCACTTAGCAAAGCCTGTCTGGATTAATCTGAGATTTAGTAGAGAATTTTAATAGCCGTTATTGGTCTAAAAGATGGTCCCTGTGAGAGTAACTTTAGGGTGAACACTGCTTTCTCATATTTGAGGAAATGTATTAGGCACAATATAGTCAAATGTTAAAGTTTCCATCCTTAAAACTTCACTGCAGGATAATTTGGTGACAGCTGGGGTTAATGGTGGACCCCACCACCAACAATGAAAAACCCTAGACAAAGCAGACTGAACATTGAGCTGTTATAGCTGAAATAAATATCAAAATCGAGGTCTGATATAATAAAGGTTTTAAGAATTATTACTTGATGTGAAAAATCCTGAAATCCACAAGCACAGTAATTTCATTTACACGTATTAATGGAGCCCCATTAGGCATGCGTGCTTGTGAGTGTGTGCGACTGAGTGAGAGCTACAGAGGAAAGTGGGAGCCAAAGCAATCTGCAATAATAATCCACTGATGAAAGGATTTTTATAGTGGCATTACAGTAGGAGGTGTCAGTAACATTTGGTAGCATCTTGTACTTTAGTTATAAAGCGGGGTAATTGTGTTAACAAGCCTACAGGGAGATTTAGTGCGCTGTTAAAACTCTTTCAAAGGGAAAGCCTGATAGACTTCTGGAGAAAGCATAAACTGCAGGATGGATATCGGAAGCTGTATTTCTGCTCAGCTCTGACTGTGTGAATAAATGAAGAGATGCTGGGGAATCAGCAGCTGCTTCACTCGATGCAGCCTGGCACGAGCTGGCAGGCTGTCTGTGATAAGCGTCCAGCTCGACAGGACACTTTTCTTTCATTAACTGGAAACTCTCACCCAGTAGTGAGCAGGTTGTTTTTATACGCGCTCTCAAGAATAATAAGACACGTTTCTGCCCTTGGGCTGTAAATGGAGTAGACATCTATTCTCCTCTCACACCAAAAGGCAGAAATGGTCTTAGCACAGGTAAAGCATATGGGAGTTTTAATTCGTTTTTTTTCCTTTCGAGTGCCAAGAATTGAATAATCATCGCACCATGATTTAGCACGCCTGTGTGCACTACATGATACATTGGAGGGAAATATTTAACTTTTCCGGACAAAACATAGCTGACGATATAGAGACTTTATTACAGTGCACAAAAGCCAAAGTCCTACCAGAAATGCCTATGGACGAAGACAAATTTCATAAAAATCTGCACAATTTTAATTATTCTCAATCTTTTATCAGTGCCATTACTTACTTTTAAAATGAAAACCTCTTCCTCATATCAAGCTCATCGTGGCGAGGTGTCCTTCAGCAGAGAACATAGAGTCCGACCGCTCCGACGCGGCGTTGACCTGCTGGAACACTGCATCCCGTTATGCTCTCCATCCACCTGCTCCTCCAGTGTTACGCACGGCGCTGGTGTTCAGCCGCCCACTCGCCGCCTTCACCAGAGCTGGCGGTTATACTGCGTTTCTCGGGCCATTTTACCTCCCCCAAAATATTCCGCTTATATTAATCGAAACTTTGGCAGAGTGTGTCTAAAAGAAAAAAGGCGGCGTGCGCTCAGAGTGCGCTGCGTCAAGCCAGAGAATTTTGGCACCAAACCCCCGCGAAGAGCCAGTCAGAGCGGCAGGACGCACGACTGCACCGGGGGGAGAGAGAGAAAGTGAGAAAGCGCGTCACCCTGTGTGCGTCGGTGTCCCCTAGTTTTGAGTCATATGTATGAGTGCTCTCTTTTTCTGGTGCCTTTTGTCACCATAAGACAAAAACGGAGCATCTTTTTGCTGCACACTGTTCTACACCAGCGTCCTAAACGTAAACCTAATTAGGAGTGCAGTACTTCAGCACATACCTGAGCTTTCACAGCAGCTATGACAAATGTTTTTGTCACTGGTCCTCCAGCTGCATCAAAACACTTCTTGTTGTGATTCTTGTAGAGTACATGCAGAAAAAAGGAAAATCAACCCCAAGCTGCCAAACAGTATGATACAGCTATTAGACGGTCTCTTGCCAAATCAGTCAGCTTCCACTGCACTTATCTGAAGTACTATCCAGGCCTTCCACATGCAGATCACAGTGAGTGGTGCACATTCTTATCAGCTCACAGCGATGACACTCGGATCTTGTGGATGAAGCCAATCCAGCAGCTTCTCTTTTGTTTTTATAAGGAGGAGGTTTCAAGCAAGTGCAGATGGCGGGCATCTTCTGTGACCTCTGTCAGTGGAGAGCTCCATGAGAAAATGTCCCAGCACTTCTCCCATTATAACAACACAAAAGTGCTGCTATTATTAAATTATCCCATCAAAGATGAGTGGTTCTATAAATGGTGACCGGAGCTATACTCAGTGGGGGGAAAGCATGACAAAAGAAGTTAATGGTCTGTGAAGGGTTCATGTCTTCAGTTACTGAAAGTAGAAATGTCCACCCAAGTAGATCAATGTCTACTCATGAGGATTATTGGTTCAGGTGTATGTTTGCTGTGCTTTGAGGTCAGCCAGTTCTCTGGGTGAGTTCACTGTTGTGTGTGCTCCTAGAACAACATCCCACTGGCAAGTCTTTTCAGCTCATTTAGAAATGATCAGCTAAGCCAAAGTGGTTAAGACATAGCATTTGAGTGTGATTTTTGTCTTTTTTGCCAAGAGTTAATTAGAACATATGTAAATATCAAGCTAATTCACCCAGCCAATAAGTCCTCCAACCTGTATGACCCATATCAGTAATGGAAAGTAACTAAGTACATGTACTCAACTATGGTTCTTAAATACAATTTTCAGATATCAGTACTTTGAATATTTCATTTTCCCCTACTTCATACTTTGACTTCACTGCATTTTAGAGGCAAATATTGTACTTTTTTTCTCCATTACATTTATTTGATCATTTTAGTTACTAGTTACTTTTTTAGAATCAAATGAGCTATACAAAATGTAATAAAATCAACCTTACTGATGGCTGGTGGGAAATTCACTAAATACTCAACAGTACTTTAAATTATATAAGCATATAAGGTAGTTAAAATTAGCTGCAATGTTAAATGGGATATGCACAGTAATGCATCAGTAATTATAATCCAATAATATGAAATGCATTCATGGGAAATGTACTGTTCTGCATAATAATCTAGCCACAGGGACTGCAAGCCAGTGACTTCTGTGCTGGTCCCAAGCCCGGATAAATAGAGAGGGTTGCGTCAGGAAGGGCATCCGGCGTAAAAACAAGCCAAATTTAACCATTGCGAATCATCGGTGTGAATTCCATACTGGATTGGTCGAGGCCCGGGTTAACAACGACCGCCACCATTGCTGTTGACCTACAGGGTGCTGGTGGAAATTGGAGTACTGTTGGTCGGAGAAGTCGAAGAAAGAGGGGAGGCAGAAGGATTCATAGACAGAGAGAGAAGAGGAAAGGCAGGAGTATAGGTTTGAGAATAGGGACTCTTAATGTTGGCACAATGACAGGGAAAGGTAGAGAGCTGGCAGACATGATGGAGAGAAGGGAGGTAGATATACTGTGTGTGCAGGAGACCAGGTGGAAGGGTAGCAAAGCACGTAGCATTGGAGGGGGATACAAACTGTTTTATTATGGTGTGGACAGGAAGAGAAATGGGGTAGGAGTGATCCTGAAGGAGGAGCTCATGAGGAATGTTTTAGAGGTGAAAAGAGTGTCAGACAGGGTGATCAGTTTGAAGTTGAAAATTGAAGGGGTAATGTTGAATGTAGTCGTTAGTTATGCTCCATAAGTAGGGTGTGAGTTAGAAGAGGAGAGATTCTGGAGTAAGTTAGATGAGGTGATGGAGAGTATTCCCAGAGGGGAGAGAGTGGTGATTAGAGCAGACTTCAACGGGCATGTTGGTGAGGGGAACAAAGGTGATGAG